GGTTAATAAGTTGGACATTTATCAACTGGCCTAACGTTTCGACTCACTCGTCGCCTTCAGAGGCTTGAACATGTTTCAAGTTTTAGATTTGCAACCTACCCACCAAGCGCCTCACCGAATCTAGCGGTTTCGACGTAGAGTCGGAAACTTCTCGAGAAGCGCTGCTAGTAGAAAAAAGAAGAACACATCGTCTCGGTATAATGATACATTGAAGAGACGCACGTCCGCTCTGTCATTTTACATTTTTCCGCAGGTGGGTATGAGAGCTAGTTGGTCACTTGGGATTGAAGGACTCATCTCGATGTTCATTGTGGGTTTTCTCGTGAATATCCATAATGCTTTTGACGGTTTTATAGCTGAAAGTTCTGTTTCTCTCATCACCATATGGCACTTTATTTCGAATTCCATTCCATTAATCCGCAACCTTATGTTTTCCAAGAGCAGTTGTAAGAGTACCACGTCTCATACTGGCAAGATGTTCCTTGATAGGGATAGCCAGAACCCTTCCTGTCTCCCCTATATGTGTAGAGTTACATGCCCGAACTGAACCTCATATATTACTTCCCAATTGCGCACAGTCACCAATTGTTCCGTGTGGGCAAGTAACACGATTCATTTGGCATATTTACGTACTGAACATCGTCCTACAACTGAGCCCACTATGCTCCTTTTTTGCAGTGCTGACCCTATCAGATATAAAGGGAAGGCACAAAAGTCTCTCGTTCCGGACGCGGTCCTCCTTGTGGGTCGAGGATGTGGTGCCGTATAGCCATTCATAACGACTATTTTTGTGGCTAGCTCCTGTGATTTTCGTTCTACATCGCACTCACGTCGCCGTTCGAAACATGTTACGGTCAACAGCACACTTCAGTGCGATAGGGTAAGCATTTCCAGCTGCTGCTACGGTACTATTCCACCGCTTATGACCACTTGCCATTGGATACCTTGACTCGCGGGTTGAGGAATGGTAGCCAACCGTTTTGTTGGGGTTTCTCAGGTGCAAGACGCTCGCCGATGGCGACTCCTCTGAGATGAGAGCAGCATGTACCTGCCTATTTGAAGATGTTACGGTTCAAGGTTCCTTGATTAGAGTCATTATGTGCGCTTTAGCAAGTGCAAAGTTTCGTATAACAGCAATATGCCTGTCCAGCATTTTGTATTACATAATGCTTGCAGGGCTTGCTCGCTTTGGACATTAGTGTGAAGCGATGTAACATCAAATGACTCTACCACAGCATTGTTTGGGATATCGCAATGCCGTAGCTGTTCAAGGTAATGCAGGAGAAAGGGGACCATAGATAAAAGTTGATTGACGATTGTGTTGAGAAACTATGATATTCGCTCGGTAGGGCCCAGCCCAATATTTTGCAACTATTCCCTCTCTCATCGAAACAAAACATTGTAGTCCTAGCAAGCACGTTGCTTTGCTTTGTGGCTTTGGCATTTGTGGCAAGTTGCACTTTTGTGGTTTTCTGTTTACCACTACTTGTTTTCTAAGTTACCGTATGGCTAAATTTCTTAAGATGA